AAAGTGTTTAATTACTAAGGAAATTAGATACTTCATTTATTTGCAACATGTTTTTCATTATCATTTTTATTACTTAACCAGAAGGAGGATACCACTGAGAAACTATTCTTTATTTACTCATTCATTATTTTTCTATACTACAGTACACAGGAGCCCATCCAGTGCTCTCAGCACCCTCAGGTGCTCTTTTAAAAATCATTGATGAAAATCTAGAGCTGTAAATTACCCATGATCAAATAACCCAGTGACAATATAGCTGTAACACATAATGAATAAGGATTGTGCTGTGGTTAGGGGCATTAGCCTGGGACTTGAAAGACCCAACTTCAGTTCCCTGTTTGGTCATGGACTTCCAGTTTAACCTGGGCAGGCCCCTTTGTGTCTCTTCTATAAAACAAGGTCCATAATACTTCCCTATATCACAGGGGTATTTGTGAGCTTCAGTGCATTAAGATTATGAGATCCTCAGATACCACAGGAAAGGGGGACAAAGTTCCAACTTTGTTAGTCAGCCTCCATGCACTATCCCCAGTGCAGTTCCATCCTACGCAGGAAGTGAAAACATTGTTCTTCTGGTGTTCCTGCAAGCGACCAAACTCTCTCAGACCTGGGTACAGGAAAGACTTCCAAAAGGCTGTACAGCTCCAAGCAGAGAACACCCTCCCGGCACCTGCCCAGAAGCTTCACCTAAGGTGCCTCTGCAATAAGTCACTGGGAGAAAGGCAGCCTCTTCTTGCTTTGTGAAAGGGGGAGAGGCAGTTGATGATGCACCGTTTCAGGACAGGAAAGATCAACTTTGCTTTTAAAATTTAAAAGCATTTGGCCAATGTTGAATGTTTTTAAATATAAAGTTGTTAATGGAATAAAAAGGTTCCTTCGGTTTATTACTGTTTCTGTCAAGAAGTTGGTCTGTCTGGGTTTTTATAATCTAGCCCATCACCTTGCTGTCTGAGTGCAACTGAACGCCACTTGGCTCGCTCACAGAGCCAGTTCTGCAAGCAGTTCTGAGAGGCACTGAGAACTCCAGTCCCATGGATTGTGCTGTGAATTAAGGATGCTCTGCATCTTGCAGGATCAGGGTCCCAGCATTTAGTCCATCAGCCTGCAGCTCCAGCATCATCTTCCATCCATGTTTAATTTTTTTTGCATTTCTTAGTCACTCAGTTCTGTATGGTTTGGGGGGAGAGCCTTAGAAGGAAGGATCAGCACTTAAAGCCTGAGCCAATCTATAGTGAAGTCAATGAAGAAGCAATTCGCATTGAGGTCCTCATCTCTCTGTGGACCACCTACTGTCAGTCCATGGTCTATGGCTTCAGAATTGGTTTTACAGTGTGCTCTCAATTCTCTGCTCATCACTATGACCTGTACTCCAGGTACTACAACGTTACAGGAAGTCTCCTTCTCTACCCCTTCCCCTCCCCCGACTCGATTTTCAGTGGCTGAAGGACTTCCGTGCATTTCTTCCATATACCTTTGTAGCACGAGTTATTTCCCACTAGAGAGGATTAGTATAGCCTAAATGTGGGAGAGAATTAATTTTAGAATTAATCACAAGGAGTTGGGAAATTCCTGACCTCCATACATTTTCCCTTTAATATAATCTGTGTGTATCAGGCAGTGCTCCTTTTTGCAGTATAGTAAGAGTCTTTGTACGCTGTAATCTGAACAAATTTAATAGCATCTGTAATTGAAAGAAATTTTATATTTGCATGCATGACTGAGCTCTTTAGTAATTTATTCAGCAAATTAGCTGAATCCAGTACTGATTAACATTTTTACTATGTATCCAAATTCTGTAATCTTACTTTGTGGGCATTAAAAAAAAGTTTAAATGCCAGAGAGGAAAAGAGCGAGTTAGTCACAATTATAATTATTCCATAATTAAATCTTAGAGGAGAGATGCCATTGATTCATAATGTCCGTTACACTTCTAATTTCTTGTAGAATACATCTGGTATGCATACGCAGGAACTGCCTGCAAGTGGTTTCTCTGACGTAAAAGAAATTCAGGGGCTGTCATTATGGAAAAGAGCTAAAAACAAAAACTACAACTGTTTTAAGCACCTTTCACAAAAATGGTACAAACAAACACTAAGTCTGTCAGCAGTAAAGGTTAAAAGCAGCCATGAATATGTTTTTCTTTTACCTAATCTTAAATGTCAGTTCGGAGTGTTTTGAATAATGGGACATGTGATTTGATAGTAGTTGTTGTTGTTTAGAGGTGAAACACCACTTTGCTTTGTATCCTATTTCTTCCAAATGCTAATATGAGGCTCACTTGCTGATTGAGCAGGTAAAAGGAAGTATGATGTAAATGGTAGGTGGAGGTAGGAAGTGTAGCATATGGTCAGTTTTCAGATGTATCTGCATGGACATTGTTTAACATACAACAGGATTTGTGCTCTTACACTTTACAGATATTTCCTGTATTCATTTCTTAGTAGCAGTGGTAATAATAATAACTTGTCGTCTAGCAGTAGGTAGAGGCCCAAACCAAGCCTGGGACAATTTCATACAAGGCATTCTACAAACGTAGAGAGACACTCTCTGCCCTACAGAACTTACAGCCTAAATGTAGACTAGGTGAGTGGGACTCTCCACTGCAGCACCTCCTGCTGGTGGCTCCAGGGAATTAGTTTGATCAGCAGCAGGTCACCTCCTCCTGTCTGGTGTCTCCCGTCTGCAGTCCACGCCCTTGCTCTGGACCTACGTCGCATCCAGACCACGACATCCTCTTCGTAACACTGCCTTCTGCCAGTGCCTGCTTCAGGGATCTCTAACCCCCTTCCAGGGGTGTATTGGCAGTCCTTGGCCTCTAGTGCCTCTTTGGCCAGGTGTGGTCTCCATGCCTAGCTCCTCTGTCTCAGGGGCAAGCCACAGTCTGCATGGGCCATGCCCCCCTTCCAGAGGGATATCAGCAGTTCCCCGTTTCTCCCGTCACTATGGCCAGCTGTGATCCTAAAGCCTAGCCTAGCCCCCCTATGTCTGAGGGGCAAGCCACCGTCTGTGTGGGCCATGCTTTGGTGGCAAGGTGAGGTGTAAGATTGGGGGGAGAGGGAACCCAGGCCTGCTCACAACTCTAGGTCTCAACCCAGAGACCCTCTGATGGCAGCCTTGTCCTGCCCTCCTCTACTCCCCTTCACTTTCTCTAGTTCCCTGACTGCCCTTCCCCTGTTACCCCTGCATCTACTTGGCCCTTGTCACAAGGCCTACAGCCTGGCAGATATCTGGCTGGAGCCTTTGTCTCTAGCTCACCTTAGCCTGCCCAGTATTGTCATACAGTGCATCTCAGGGAACTGACCCTGCACTCTCCCTGGTCAGGACCCAACTTTTCACTCTCGACTGAGCAGCTCCTTATATACCAGGCTGCCTCAGCAAGCTGCCCTCTGGTTGGGTCGATAAAAGCTCCTCTCCGATTGGCCAGGGTTCTGCACAAGCTCCCCCTAGTCTGCTTTAACCCCTTCGGGCCACCACAAGCTGTAGTGCAAAATGCTACAGCAATTCACACACAATTGCAAATAATTGATTTACCTGATGTGATGCTTTACCACAGCAGATTGGTCAGTGTAGACCAGGACAAATCAAGGTCAGCACAATGTCAACAATCTACAATTAAATCCTGCTGGGATGAAGACTCAGTCACGGTTAGCTGACATGATGCTTACTGCAATGTACCCTGGTCTGTAGGGTCAGTTAACTCACTTTTTCTTAGTAACCATTTTCAAACATCATAAAATGTTCTAGAGGTACCAACAGCTCATGCTTAGAGGACTGGAAATGCCCGTTTTAAATTCATCACTGTTTCTTAGTGCTTTTCGAGTGTCAGTCTTTTGGAAAATGAGCCTAGAAACTACATCCTGTGGAAGTAAGACATTTGAGTTCATTGTTGAAGTTCTGACACTGGTTTTATATTTAGGATTGCCAGATAGTTTCACAAAAAATACCGAACATGTCGGGGGGGAAAAACGGGCACCAAAGTTGTTGAGCAAAAAAAACCACACCAAAAAAAAAGTGTCACGGTGCCATTAAATCTCCATGCTCCCCCGTCCCCACCAGACGCGGCAGAGGAAGAATGTCCCAAGTGGCCTCACGGTACCATTAAATCCCCATGCTCCCCTGTCCCCACCAGACATGGCAGAGGAAGAATGTCCCAAGTGGCCTTCCATCCGACAAAAAACAAAATACTGGACATTTTACATGTCCGGTATTTTCTGGTTTTTTTTTGTTTTTTTTACTGGACAGAAGTCGCAAATACCGGTCACTTGGCAACCCTATTTGTATTATGAATGTGTTTCCCCTCCCCCTCCTTATGTCTTTTCCATTCTTTCCAAATTGCCCCCCTCATCTTTCTCCTTCCTGTCTCAAAGCCGGCTTCTCTCCATTCAGCCCCTCTCCACTTCCAGGCTCATTTTTACTCTCCTGCCTCAACATTGTCCAATCTATCTCATCACCACCTGTGCCACCTTGCTCCCAAACCACTTTCACTTCATCTACATTTTCAAGGGTATGAGTGTGGCCTTAATAAACCATCTGACTCATTTTCCCCTCAGTTCCTGAAGCTGCCCTCTGCCGCAGGAGCTTTGCTGCTGTGCATCCAGCAGCATAGAGTAAATGAAGCAGTGATCCTACAGATAGTTTCATTCTTTCCTCAGCCCTGCTTCGTTTTTTGTGCCCAGAATGAGGCAGGGATGCTGTAGAAAAAAAGAGTGTGATCTGGTAATTAAAGACTGTATCATAGTGTATGTGTACCTGGTGAGTGAAGAAAGATGACACAGACAACCTGAATTTTGGCCTTTTCTAATTTTTAAATGCTCCACTTCACAATCTTAATGTGCTTAACACAGAGGGGGTTTTTAAAAATGTATTCAGAATCCATTCATGATGATGAGACTAAAGGATAAAGTGGGTTTTGGAAATAAGTACACGTCATTTAAAAAAAGAGAAAAGAAAAGGCATGAGAGAACCTTTGTAAGACCTAGATTTGTTTTGGATTGTTTCAGGAGCTAACCGTGTGACACTGGAGGACTCCAACATCCTGCAGCCAATGGGACTGACTGTGTTGGGGAATCACTTGTACTGGATCGACCGTCAGCAGCAGATGATTGAGAGAGTTGAGAAAACCAATGGCTATAAGAGGGCTAGAATCCAAGGCCGAATTGTTCACCTGACAGGCATTCATGCTGTGGAAGAAGTTGATATGAATGAATTCTGTAAGTATATTAATGCCATGTATTCTTGATTATCAGATATCATGTGGGTATTCTAGCAAGTGAATTTCTGACGCTTCAGTTTCAGACGGGTGAGTTTTGCACTCATCTTAAGCAGAATGTACCAAGATTATTTAGAAGGAGCTGCTTGAAACCACGTAGTTTTTTGCTCACGAACAACGGTATAGATAATTTTGGCTATTTTTGTAACACCCCAAAAATATACCAGGCATTCTACAAACTTTTATGACAGATTCTTGCTCGAAAGCAATTGCAATTTGTAGACAAAATACAGGCATAAGGCTTTAGTCTGAGAGGTGCTGAACTCTGATCTCAGCCCAGCTAAGCACTCAAGCATATGATGTGCCCCATTGGTGTCATATAAGTTCTTAGCCGGATTGCAGCCAGTCCTGTGTGTCCAGCACCTTGCAGGATGGATCATCCAGAAGAGAAGGTAATGCAAACCTCTTTCCCATTCCTGTCATAAGTAGTCTGTGAAAGATGTGTCTCTGCTGTTGTAGCAGTTAGCAATCTATTCTGCATGCACATGTATAATACAAAATTTGCTCCTGTCTCTGCTTAGAAAATAAAAACAAAGAAAAACTAGATGTAGGCTGTCTGCTGCAGAGTGGTTAATTATGCTAGTCTTTCATCGTTTCAAACCTGTGATCAATTGTATCATAGGAAAAGCCCTGCGTGAATACAAAATTTGCATCTGTATCCACAAAACTGAGCTGCAGATATCTGCACTGATATGCATGGATCCAGATACCCACGGATATAAAGCAGATATCCACAAATTTGCAGGGTTCTTAATAGAAAATTTATATGCACATCCGCTAATGTGGATATCTGCAGATTTGCAGAGCTCTAATCATAAGGGAGTTGTAACTGATTCCCTTAGTCCTATGTGGAATAGGAAAATATCTGTACTTTATATCTGTGTTGCTAAATGAGTGAGGCATCCAGGTTGGGGGGGGGGGAATTTTTTTGAACTGAAAAATATGGAAGGGGCTCCTTTTAAAGTAGTTTACTGAAGGTACTAATCCTGGTGATACTGGGGAAGAGAAGTAGAGGAGGAGAAGCTATTTATTGCTTGCCCTGCCTCCTCAACCTTAGAAATAGCAGTGAACAAACATAATGGGGTAGCAGCATGAAACACTGTCACAATGAAAGGAATAGTGAAAACTGGCTAGGACTGGCTATTTCACTTTCTTTCTCAGCCTAGAATTGGGATGTAAAATCCCATTTAATTAGTTAACTAGTTAAAAGATCAAATGGGTGCGAGTGGGAGCAGCCCCAAGGCCACAGCCAGGAGCTGCTCCAGCCCAGCTGCTTCAGACCCCGCCCGTGCAAGCAGCATTGGAGAGGGAAGGAGGGGGGATGGTTAAGGATGATGCTTACCAGTAACGGGTTACCCGTTCACATTCCTTGCCTGGAGAGTGGCGCTGGAGGTCAAACATAATCTGGGAGAAGCAAGATCGAGAAAGAAGAGGAAAAGGGAATAAATATAGGGGAGATATGCCTCCTTTGTTAATTTTAGGATGCACACATTGTCCTTCCAAGTGATCACTTAATCATGGTCTTGTCCTTCCCCTTTCATCTCTTTCTGGGAGGTATCTTTCTGCACTTGTTTGGTTTTTGCTGTATTCATCTAAACTGTAAGCCCCTTCAGTTCAAAGATTCTGTCTTTGTTATTGAAAAGCACCAGACCTGTTTACGTCATTATGGGTATGTCTAGACTACAGGCTTTTGTCGACAGAAGTTTTGTCGACAGATACTGTCGACAAAGCTTCTGTCGACAAAGAGCGTCTAGGCTACATTCAGTTCTGTCGACAAAGCAGTCTGTCGACAGAACTCTTGTTGACAAAAGGCGTTATTCCTCGTAAAATGAGGTTTACAGCCATCGACAAAACTGCTGAGTTCTGTCGACGTTATGTCGACAGAACTCAGCGGTAGTGTAGACGCAGGTATAGTTTTGTCGACAAAAGTCTACTTTTGTCGACAAAACCCTGTAGTCTAGACACACCCTATGTAAGAAACAGTAATCATATATATATATAGTAGCCCAGTGACTGAGAGTCTGTAACACCAGAATGCTGGCTGTTCCCTCTGGAGGGCACTGTTGCCTGAAATGCTGGCTGTTCCCTCTGAGCAGTGCTGTTGCCTCCCTGGCTGTTCCCTCTGGACGGCGCTGTTGCCTGAGTCACGTTCTTCGCCTCCCACCTTAGCCATCGGCTGACTTCTGCGCCGCTCAGCCGAGCCGCCGCGCGGGAGCTTGTGGCG